TAGACCCTATGACTGTTGATCTCGGGGTCAAGAGTTCGAGCCCCATGTTGGGCATAGAGATTACTTAATATAAAATAAAATTTAGAATCCTGGAAGTGTCGACAAGAGAAGAGAGGAGGATTTTGATCATTCTGCGTGAGCCAGGTGTCTAGGTTTGAAAAGCCAGAACCTGTGAATTGGATGTGTGCTAATACAGTAGCCACTGGCCACATAGGGCCGTTGAGCCCTCGAAATGGAGCTAGTTCAAACTGAGATGTGCTCTAAGTGTGAAATATATGCTGGATTTTGAGGAATTAGTACAAAACAAGGAATGTAAAATATAATTAATAATTGTTAATGTTATATGTTGAAATGATAATATTTGGATATACAGTTGACCACTGAACAATGTGGGGGTTAGGGGCATTGACCCCCTGTGCAGTTGAAAATCCCCGTATAACTTTTGACCCTCCCCCAGAACTTAACTACTAATAGCCTGTTTTTGACTGGGAAGCCTTACCAATCACAGTCGATTAACACATATTTGGACAATATATATATTGTATACCATTTCTTAAAATAAGCTAATGAAAATATTAAGAAAATCATAAGGAAGAGAAAGTACATTTATAGTAGTATACTGTATTAATTGAAAAAAAATCTGTGTTTAAGTGAACCTGCACAATTCAAACCCATGTTGTTCAAGGGTCGACTGTATTGAATTAAATAAAATACATGTTAAAATTAATTTCACCTGCTTTTTTCTTTTTTTATTGTGGCTACTAGACAATTTAAAATTATGTATTTTCATGATGCATATTTATGGTTCATATTATATTTCCATTGGACAGTGCTTCCTTGGACAATTCTGCATTTTCTGACTTACTGGGAAAGGCAAAACGAAAGCAGTTGGAGAGAAACAACCTTTTATTCCCAAATGCCTCTTATTCATAAATCAGTTAACCTGTGCAGTCTCAGGAGTTTCAAAAGGGGAAAATCTTTACAGCTCACATTACTCTCTTTCTCAGAGACTGTCCTATTATTTGAGAATAACTTCATAATATGCTTATCTTTTTTTTCTTTCAGCCTTTCTAGTCTGGTGATGATGACAACTATAATGCAGGGTATTTTGTCCAAAATTCCAGTATCATGTTAATTCTATTGACTTTTTTACATGTCCGCTATAATTTTACATAGCTAGAAACAAATGAAAAATCTTTTATATGGAGATATTATTGTAGAAATGTTTGACTTATATCACATTATGATTATCATAACTCAAGAATCAGTAATAAAAGGTTTAACATCTCAGCTAAGATGTAATTATGGACCCCACAGAGGGTATCACACATGCCATGTATCCTCAAATAGTCTGTTCTAGGCAGGAGATGTACACTCAGAGTGAAATAATTCAAGAAGAGCAATCCCTAGTGGGGACTGTATAGCTAAATGGCTCATAAATGACACTAATAGAAGTTGCTATTTTAATCTCATTGTCATTCCCTGGCCCTAAGAAATTCTTAAGCACCAGCCCTTCCATCCCTCCCTCCACAGATTCTTCTTGGTTTTAGTAGCTCTGCAAGTAAATACAACCTGGCCTTTGAGCATGGCTCCGAAGCAGCCCAGAAAAATCAGATCTGCTTCAAATTCTTTATTAATCTAGTTGCCTTAAAACTTTAGGCCTAGTAAACCTATTTAGGTAAGAAAGTATTTTCTGCAACCAAATTGGATAAAAAGAAAACTGTGGATTATATGCCAGGAGATCTTTAGCAAAAATGTTGTTTGAAACATTTTAGACAAACATTGTTTAAAAAGACAAATATATTTATAGAAAATGCATATTTTTTATAGTGTACATGGAACATTCGCCAGATACACCATATTCTGGGCCATAAAAACTTAATGAATTTAAAAGAACTGAAATTATAAAAAGCATGTTTTCTGACCATCATGAAATTAAACTAAAAATCAGTAACAGAGATATCTGGAAAATTCCCACACATTTGGAAATTAAACAACATACTTCTCATTAGCCTGTGAGTCCAAAGATAATCACAGGGAGAAGTAGAGAATATTTTAATCAAATGAAATTGAAAATACAACATATCACAAATTGCAGCTGATGCAGTGTTTAGAGGGAAATTAATAACATTAAGTGCTTGCTTTAGAAGTACAAATTACCAATATTAGGACTAAAAGAATATTGCTAGACTCCACAGACTTAAAAAGCATAATAGAGAAATATTACAAACAACATTATGCCCAGAAGTTGGTACACTTAAATGAAATAGACAAATTCTTTATAAGACAGAAACTACCAAAGCTCATTCAAGAAGAAATAGATAGCCTAATTTCCAGTAGAAATTAAAGAAATTGAATTCATAGTTAAAAACCTTTCTACAAAGAAAACTGCAGGCCCAGATGGCTTCCTTGGCAAATTTACTAAACCTTTAAGGAAGAAATATTTTACACAAACTCTTCCAGAAAATAGAAGGAACACTTCCCAACTCATTTTATGAGCCTAGCTAATATTGAAAGATATTGCAAGAAAACTATAGGCCAATTTACCTTATGAACTTAGGGTGACAAATGAACAAAGTATTAGCAAGCCAAATTCTGTAATGTATAAAAAGGATAATAATAGTACTGTGCTGTTAAACTGGCTCTCTGGATCAAGAGGAAGTCCTCTTTGTACTGTTCACTGATTTCCATTGTATAAAAACTCCCACAAACAAAACAAAACAAAACCCTCCCACCATGGCCAATTGTGAGCTACCAGTGTGAGGTCACTGACAGTGGAGTCAGGAAGAGATGTGTAGAATTAGCTCTCGTGAGCTGGTGTAACCCAACTTCAGCACATCATGACCAATACATAATCTTCCCAAGAATGCAAGACTGGTTGAACATTCAAAAATCCATGAATGTACTTCACCATAATAACAGACTAAGAAAAAAGACAAAAAACTATGAACCAAAGAATGTCCTTAGTTCTATACTTAGCAAAATAAACCTACCCAAACTGGTGCTCTGACTGTACAGTCCCCTTCAGGCCCCACAGTCTCTTTGTTGCTTGTCCCCCTTTTCATTTCATTGCTCTGATCATTGCAACATCTAGATTACACCCTCTTCCTGTGGCCACTCGCTTGCTCATTTAACATTTTTAATAGATGCAGCAATGCAATTAGGAGGTGGGAGAGCTACTCCTAACTCACGCAAAAAAAAAAACCTACTAAAATATATAAAACTATATAATTGTCTCATAAATTTCACACACACACACACCCATGGTGAAGTATGTTTGTCTGTTTTTGCTTACATTCAGGGTACTCTTTGTGACGACCTTTTAATGGTTACTCCAACAGGGTTGTCACATGGTAAAATGAAGACCTAATTCTCTACTGATGTGGGAGCATCCTTGAGTCAAAATCTTGTCATTTTTAATTAATTAATTAATTTTTTTAAAGATTTTATTTATTTATTTGAGAGAGAGCACATGAGAGGGGGAAGGGTCAGAGGGAGAAGCAGACTCCCTGCCAAGCAGGGAGCCCGATGCGGGACTCGATCCAGGGACTCCAGGATCATGACCTGAGCCGAAGGCAGTCGCTTAACCAACTGAGCCACCCAGGCGCCCCAATCCTGTCATTTTTTAAATCTTTGTATCGACTCCTGACACATTACTTGGCACATAGACTCAGTGCATGTTTTGGTGAATGGATAAATAAATAGAATTCTAAGGATTCCTCATTTGCAGAGGCTCTCAGGTCAAGACTTAAGTGTGAGACTCAAGTACTCACTGTGGAAATGGCCATTCTTTGAAAAGAATGACATTCCCAATTGCATTGTGATTTTTAGTACTTCTCTGCTCAATTCAAAAACATTTATAAAATGAGGGGAGTAGAGGGGCGCCTGGGTGGCCCCTCAGTTGGGTAAGCGTTTGACTCTTGATTTCTGCTCAGGTCATGATCTCAGGGTCGTGGGATTGAGCCCTGCATTGGTCTCCTCATTCAGTGGGGAGTCTGCCTGAGATTCTCCCTCTCCCTCTCCTTCTGCCCCCCACCCACCATGTGCACATGCTCTCTCTCTCTCTCTCAAATAAATAAATCTTAAAAAAAGAAGAAGAAGAATAAAATGAGGGGTATGGAAGAGAATCAATTAAAATTCCCTAGAGAACTTTTTTTAAAAAGATCTGGGCCACTGTATCATCTGAAAACGGACTGTGGGGCAGGTAGAGTATTAAATGATGAATATTGATCATCGCTATGAGAGTAGATTTACCATAATTTTATGGTGTGTTAGGCTTTTGTACACTGCCCATACCCTTTAATATGTGTGCTCTTTTTGAAGATTAATGTGTAAGTAAGTACCTTTATGTTGTTGGGGGGGCACCTGGAGCACAATTTTACTCATTTAAGTTACTATATATCTTTGGATTTTGACATACTGTTGATTATATCTATAATTCTTAATGCCTAATTTCTGATCATCTGCCTTACTGTGTGATTTAAGTGATCTAGAAATGGAGTGGGAGTGGTAGGTCTCAGTTCTGGAATGATAGCATGAGTTAGTATGATCTGTGAAATTCCAAAGATGGTTTGCAGGTGAGCTGAGAAGAGGATGAGTTTGGCTAATTTAAGAAGGCCAGACTGGGTAGGGATTATTCCCCCCTAGAGGAGGTTAGGCTGAAAGACTTGCTCTATTTACATGAATAAAACTTCTGAGTTTCCTGATTTGCTTGTTATCTTTAAAAAAAAAAAAAGAACCTTTTATTTAGAGAAATGGACATTATCATTACTCTCCCAAATCCAGATTTTTAGTTATCAGAAACATAGCAGATTATAGCTCCACACTGATTATCCTTCAAGCTTCGCACCTGTCTTAGCAACTCCTAGTCACCAATGAATTGATACTTGCATCACAGTCAGGTTTGGTTTCAGTGTCCTGTGTACCTCAGATCTTCGTTTTTGTATCAAATAAGATTTGTGTTTATTCTAATTTTACTAATGGAAGTTTTTCTCCATCAGGGATGGATGAATGAGATTTACAACTATGATCCAGAAACTTACCATGCAACTTTGACACATTCAGTCTTTGTCCGACTTGAGGGTGGGACCTTAAGACTTTCAAAGCCCAATAAAAATATATCCAGGAGGGCAAGCTACAATGAAACAAAGCCAGAGGTTACCTACATCAGCCAGAAAATCTATGACCTTTCAGACAGCAAGGTGAGCCTGGCTAATTTAAGAAACTAAAATGAAAGAAAAGCATTTGGAATCTTGGTTGTTTTACTGCGTTTTTCCCCCTCAAAAGGGTGTGTGTGTAGAGTGTGCGTGTGTGTGTGTGTGTGTATAATTTAGGGCACTACCTTTCATGCAAATCACCCAAGCATCTTTTTAAATGTAGATTCTATTTCAGCAGCTCTGAGTGGGACCTAAGAGTCTGCATTTTTATGAGCTCCCAAGTGATACTCTTGCTGCTGGTGGTCCATGGACCACACTTTGAGGAACAAAGGCATAACACACTCATCTGACTTTGAGAGTTAACTTTTAACTTTTCAGTCCAACAAAAAGCTAAGTGTAGTGGTGCTAGGGTAATAATGAATGAGGACTCTGTAAATGTGAAAATTATGGATATGCAAAATAATTCCATTTGATAAGTGTTATATACTGCTGTTGTTGAGAAATATGAATTGTTGGTTATTCCAAAAAGCTGTAGGTTTTCTGTTATAACTCATGTGAGTGATCTTTAAATTTACCTCAAATGACAGAACTATTTAAAATAGTTTTTGTAAAAATTTACTCTTGAGACTGATAAACTTGAGCTTCCCATCTAGATCTAGTTTGATAAATTCTTTTTTTTTTTTTCCAAATTTATGGTTGGTCCAAGGTCATGAAACTTAGTTGATGATAACCTGCTAAATAATTTTTGTGTCAGTGTTACCTGAAAATTACAGATACTTAATCATGGAACGCTACATCAAAAACTAATGATGTAATGTATGGTGATTGATATAACATAATAAAAAAAAAAAGAATTACAGATACTTGTAACTCTTGCAAAATTCTTAAACATCTACTTCTGGAATGAGTTTGAAGCATAACAAATCACTTCTAAAACTTAATCCCAGTTTCTATAGTCATGTTGTAGACAGGTAGTAATTATTTTACACTCATTGTTTTAGTCAAAAAGGCTATAAAGTTTGCATTTGTGTTCTGCATAATATTAATGAACAGGCCGGTTCTTAATTTTGTATGTCAGTCATCATTTCCCTTTCCTGTAGATTTATCTTGTACCCAAAAGTTTGGCTCGAAAACGAATCTGGAATAAAAAGTACCCCATTTGTATCGAGCTTGGTCGACAGGATGACTTTATGTCTAAGGCCCAGACTGATAAAGAGACTTCTGAAGAAAAGCCTTCAGCTGAGAGAGAGCTGGGAAGTGAGGACCCTAAGAAGCCATCCCATCCTCAGGAGGGAACACGATCTAGCCAGCGAGATCAGATACTCTATCTCTTTGGGAGAACTGGCCGAGACAAAGAGGAGTGGTTTAGGCGATTTATTCTGGCATCTAAACTGAAGTCGGAAATCAAGAAGCCACCTGGTGTCTCTGGAAGTAAACCAGGTAATGACATGTGTGCTGAATGCTTAAGTATTTTTAAAGGGTCCATAGGAGAATGGAGAGAGATTCCCAGGTAGGAAGGAAGGAAACCCACCCTGAACTGATGACCCTCCACCTAAGGAATGTTCTCAGGACTCACTTACCTTTTAGGCTGGTCATTGCAACCCTTTGCACCGGATCATTTAACCAGTGACGGAACAGCTTGCAAATGTATGATTTTTGCCTTTGTTGGTAACTTAGGATTATATTTATTTGTACATACTGTGACTCTGAGAGAAGAAACATCAGGAGAACCCTGGTTGTGATAAGGAGGCGGGTAAGTCAGGGCAGCGTATCAGGCTAGTGTCCTCAGGCTCCCAGCCCTGAACACGCTTCTCCAAGCCTCAGATCACCGTAGAAATGCAGAGTCTCTGGCCTCCCGACTCACATTTGTACTGATAAATGAGCCTCTGCTCATTTCCTGTCCTCCTGCCCCGTGTATCCCACTTGGGCCCTCACTGAACCTCTCAGTGTCCTCCAGACATCCTGGGCCCTGTCTTCGCTTTTTGCATATGCTCCTCCCTCTACCTGGAATATTCTTCCCCCACCTGCACCAGGAAAATGCCAACTATTTCTTCAAGAGGCAGCCGAGAGGACTCTACCTGTGAAGTTGGTACTGGGGCTTTCTTGGGAGAGGTAGTCACCTCCTCCTTTCTGCCCTGAAAGTCCTTCAGCCATGCTTCGGTTGCCATGGTTATTATAGAGAGATGTAATTTATGTGCCTAGGTGCCCAAATTCAAGGGCAGGGATTATGTCTCATTCTTCTTTTCATGTGGAATTGGCCCAGAGAAGGGCTTGATAAAAACCTTTGTTGAATAAAAGATGACAGGTCTGGAATTGCCGTGTGCTGTGGGCGAACGGTTAGCTTGCGGCCCACTTGCCATTTGTCTCTGGGGCTGTGGCAGTTCCATATTTGACCCTCAGTGATCACCAGGAAAAAAGAACAAGGTACTTACCACATGGACTTCATGGCTTTCAGTTCCTCTGAATTGTTTTAGAGAAGAAAAACCGTTCTAAAAAATGAGCTATTATTAGAATCGGAGGTATTTCTCAGGACAGGAAATAGCCTTATAAATATTTTTTTAAACAATCATTTGTTAGCATGTTAGCTGCTTGTCCACTTAGCCCAGGGCAGTCTGTTCGCTGTTGCGTTGACTTTGCAGTCATTTCCTTCCCGCATTAACAGCCGCCCCGCTTTGCTGCAGGGGTTTTGCCCTCATACAGCAGACACAACAGCCCCTCGGGGCACCTGACCCACAGCCGCAGCAGCAGCAAAGGCAGCGTGGAGGAGGTGATGTCGCAGCCGAAGCAGAAGGAGCTGGTGGGCAGCGTGCGGCAGAAGATGCTTCTGGACTACAGCGTGTACATGGCCAGGTGTGTCCCCCAAGAAAACCGAAGCCCCCAGAGGAGCCCGGTGCAGAGTGCGGAGAGCAGCCCCACGGCTGGGAAGAAGGTAAAGCTGGCTGCCCAGGCCGTGGCTTTTCTGCTTTTCTACTCAGACTCGTTTCTGCAAACGTAAGCACTTGGAGCGCTTCCTGTGTACCAGGCCCTGCCCTAGGCACTGGGGACACAGAAGTGAACTAGACAGATGCGGGCCTTGCCCTCAGGGAGCTTGTGCTCTCGGCAGGGAGGCAGCAAGAAACAAACAGCTGGTGGTGGCAAGAATTAAAAGAAAGCCAAGGATGGAAGTGGGGAGGGTGGAAAGTGGCCAGACTGCTATTTTAGAGTGGTGGTCAAGGAGGGCCTCCTTGCGGAGGTGACGTTTGGGCAGAGACCTGACCACAGTGAGGAAGTGAGCCATGGGATGAGTGTGGGAGGAGCCTCCCCAGTTCGGGGGACCAGCCCAGAAGCAGGGGTATGGTTGGAGTATTCAAGGAACCATGGTGAGGTCGGTGAGGTGACTGTGAGCAGGGCACAGAGAGGCAGGGCCTCATGGGATCAGTTCTGAGGAAGATGGGAAGCCCTGGGAGGGTGTTGAGCAGGGAGTCATGTTGATCTATTAAAGTTTAAAAGTGGCTGTCCGTGGAGAGTGGGCAGGAGGAGGAAGAGAGTGGGTGGGGGGCGCTTCCAGCTGTCGGGGATGGGGCTGTGATGAGGGATAGCAGCAGGTGCTGAGAACGGCTGTAGTTGGGATCTGTGTTTATAGGGGAGCGGCTGGATTTGCTGATGAATAAGGTGTGGGGTGTGAGAGAACCAGAGGGGCCAAAGATCACTCCTAACCTTTGACCTGAGCAACTGGGCAATCAGTAGGGAAGTTCTCAGAATCGTTAGTAGTAGAGGTCTGATTCCTCAGTTACCTTTGTATTCTCAGACTCGTTAGCGATGTCCAGTGCTTTTGAAGATTTGCCACGAGCATTCTTCCCACAGCATAACAAGCTGGCCATTGACTCAGGATCATCTGCAGTAAGATAACTAAGCTGCCATATGCCAGATTCTGTTGGGCACTGTAATAGAATTCCTCTGATCCCTTCAGCAGTCTTGCAGACGAGATGGTATTCTCTCCATTTTGTAGATGGAGAAACAGGTTCACGCGAGCTAAGTAGCTTCATTTCACAGTTGCTAAGTGGTGGCGTGTACAAACCAGATGACGCTCCCAGGCCCTCAGCTGCCACCACTGCTATGTTGGTGGCCGTTAGAAAGCTGTGCTGGCCCTCAGGCCTCCTGCCACTACCCCACTCATATCCTCAGCACGGCGCCCAGCCTGTGCACACACAGCCTGCTTTCCTCCCGCTCAGTAACTCACTGAAGTGTGTGACCTCTTACAGTGACCGTATCTGCTCTGAATGGGAAGCACTTGGTGCCTTCTCTGTGCTGTAAGCCAGTCATGAGTTTTGATTCATTCTCTTGGTCCTCTCCAGTGGGGAAGAGACCCCCGAACCCTCATGCGGCCGACCTTGTCAGGCCAAAAAAGACCCTGTGCTCTGCTGGCCCCTCACCCACTGCCTCCACCCTCTGACCTGAGTTACCAATTAAGAGTGGGAAGTAGGCCTTCCTCTAGGCTGGAGTTGGGCAATACAAAACTATTCTAGGCATGTCCTGTTTACCACCCGTGAATCCCCCTACCCCAAATTCCTTTTCTCCCTGGGTTGTCAACTGTCTGAACTCTCATCGGATTCAGGGAAATCAGGAGGAGCATTTGTATACTAATGGAAGAAAATTACCCCATGAAATGCTTGCTTTTTAAAAGAGTTCCTTAAATTAAAAATACAAAAACAAAACCATGTTTTAGAACATCGTGTCCTCAGTGTGTGTTGCATGTGCTTGTCGTGTTGTGTCATCGCTGGAGTCTCTGGAAGCCCCAGGAGGGGCTGGGAGGCCCCGATGGCCCATAACTGAGCCCCTTGACCCAGCATTCCCTGTCACCCGGGGGCTTCTCTAGTACAAACGTCCTTTCTGAGTACTTGGCATTTACCTCTTTAAGCACCGAAACATGTTTTTCCTCTTC